GTTCCAATATTTTGCAAATGAAAAAGCAAGATTCCTGTTCAATGCTTGATCAACATCTAATCCCTATTGCTGTCCTGTGCCTCAACTTGCTCGGCCTCTTGTCCATTTTGTCTTTCTGCTGGGTCTCTAAACCCCAGGCCGGAGACCATGATTTCTCTTCTCCTCCTTGCAATTTCTCGCTGTAGAAATCCAACGGTGTGGCCACCACCCCTGCCTTCGCGAGTGCCCGGGTCTTGACAATCCACTCATGCTTGATCACACTGAGTCACTATTGAAACCAATGGCTGAGCATTGGCCCAAACCCATCCTCCCATCTGAAGGTTCCCTTGAGCGGCTGGTGTATCGGGGGCTGCCTCTCTTCTCTAGGCCTCGATATTTCATACTTCTTATCCCCAGTTCTGATTTTTATGACCTCCTGCACTTCCTCTTCCTCATCCTCCTCTTCTTCCGTCTATATGGGGCTATACCCGCCAGTGCGGTTCTTTGGATCGTAAGTATAGGGAATTTTTGTCCTTGTTCCATATCCCTATGTGTTGACCCCCAACGGGTGATTGTTTGGATCTTTGCTTTGTGTGGGATTGTGCTGGTAAGTGAAGGCTAAGGATGCCTTGAGTGGGATAGGGCCGGGAGGAACCGGGTATCAAAAGGAAAAGGGAAGAGGGAAAAACGGGTTATGGGACGCTTAGCATAAAGCCAACCCATAAAAATGACCTTTGCGTTTGAGACTTGGAGTGCAAATGAGGAAATAGGGTGCTGTCTTGTCAAGGGAAATGTGAAGTTGGGCGTGCATGCATGTAAAGGCCCCGAAAAGACTAAGGGGCATGCGTTAATAGAGTAGAATGAGATGTATGAGATCCGATGGGTGAGTAGAGGCGAGGGGAAGGACGACATCGCCGCACCCCGATAACGCCATAGGAACATAATGATTAGGGAAATGGTGCGCGGCCTAAGGATGACGCTTAGCCTGCTCACAAGAGAAGAGAGACCCTCAAAGAACTTTTGGACTGTCTGCGTATTGGAAAGAGCAATTATCTGAGAACACAACCAAGAATAAGAAAAAACTCAGCGCTGCGGAATGACCAGCGGGACTACCACCCGACGTGAGGGCTGAACTACATCCCCAATCTCAAAGCTCTCTCGCGCGATGGCCCGCCCCCATCCATCTCAAAGCACTAGGTGGGGGTGACCCTGAGACGAATGACCCGCACCTTGAGCATAAGCATGGGTGGGCCGAGCCAACTGGGACC